GAATTCAAATGTGAAATTGTGGAACTACTAACTGTGGTTTGTAACCTATCCTTTAAATCAGCTTCCATACCTAATGACTGGAAGATAGCTAACGTGATGCCAATATTTAAAAGGGGCTCTAGAGATGATCCTGGCAATTACAGATTGGTAAGTCTAATGTCAGTAACAGGCAAATTAGTTGAAACTATAGTAAAGAATAAAATTGTCAGACACATAGATGAACATAATTTGTTGGGGGAAAGTCAACATGGTTTCTGTAATGGGAAATCATGCCTTACTAATCAACAAATGTGGACAAGGGGGATCCAGTAGATATAATATACTTAGATTTCCAGAATGCCTTTGGCAAGGTCCCTCACCAAAGGCCCTTAAGTAGAGTAAGTTGTAATGGGATAAGAGGGAAAGTCCTTTCATGGATTGATAACTAGTTAAACAACAGGAAACAAAGGGTAGGAATAAGTGGTACATTTTCAGAGTGGTGGGAGGTAACTAGTCGTGTCCCCTAAGTGTCTATCCTGGGACCAATCCTATTCAACTTATTTATATGTGATCTATATAAAGGGGTAAACAGTGGAGTGGCAAAATTTGCAGATGATACCAAACTGCTCAAGATAGCTAAGACCAAATCATACTGTGAAGAGCTTCAAAAAGATCTCACTGAACTAAGTGATTGGGCAACAAAATGGCAAATGAAATTTAATGTTGATAAATGTAAAGTAATGCACAATGGAAAAAATAATCCCTACTATACATACATTATGAAGTAGACTAATTTGGCTACAACTGAAGAGAGATCTTGGAGTCTTTGTGGCTAGTTCTATGAAAACATCCACTCGGTGTGCAGCGGCAGTCAAAAAAGCAAATAGAATGTTAAGAATCTTTTAAAAAGAGATAGAGAATAAAATAGAAAATATCTTATTACTTTTATATAAAACCACGGTACGCCACATCTGGAATACTGTATACGGATGTGGTCTCCTCACCTCAAAAAAGATATATTAGGATTGGAAAAGGTTCACAAAAGGGCAACAAAAATTATTAGGGGTTTGAAACGGGTTCCATATGAAGAGAGATTAAAAAGACTTGTACTTTTCAGCTTAGAAAAGAGGAGACAAAGGGGAGATATGATAGAGATCTATAAAATCATGACTGGTGTAGTAAAAGTGAATAAGGAAAATTTATTTACTTATTCCCACAATATAAGAACTAGGGGTCACCAAATAAAATGAATAGGCAGCAGGTTTAAAACAAACAAAAGGAAGTTTTTCTTCACTCAGCACATAATCAGCCTATGGAACTCCTTGCCAGAAGATGTGGTGTGAAGGCTATGACTTTAACAGGGTTCCAAAAGGAGCTAGATAGATTCATGGAGGTTAGGTCCATCAATGGCTATTATGCAGGATTGATAGGAATGGTGTCCCTAGCCTGTTTGTTTGGAAATGGGTGACACGGGGGGATCACGTGAGGATTAACTGTTGCGTTCCCTCCCTCTGGGGCATCTGGGATTGGCCACTGTTGGCAGAAAGGATACAGATCTGAGTGGACCATTGGTTTGACCCAGTATGGCCGTTCTTATGTTCTTAACATCCACCTACCTGCCTCTACCTATCCCTATTCTGCACCTCTGTTTTCTTTGGAGAGAATCTAATTTACTTAAAAGTGAAAAAGGCTGCCAGACCTATTAGTAGAACATGGAACCTCTAAAAGAGCCATTCAAATAGAAATGAAGCCCATTAATAGGAATTTGCCACCCCCAGGTGTATACTATCAGTTTTTTTAATTCAGTATGTCAGTCTATAGAGCCTTAGTTTAAAATTAAAAATTTTTTTGATTAGTGTGTTGCTGAAGATTATAAAATCAAATCTCTCAAAAATTGTCCTGCCCTCAGCTGCCATTGTGCATAGTGGCACCAGTTTAATAGTGCTGCTTAGGGCCCCCTAAATCCTAGGGATATCCTGCCCAAGTCGTCTTGAAGCATACTCCTGCAGTGTCCAGCTCTTAACTACCGGACACTCAGAGAAATGACCAGGTAAACTGCCCCTGCAGTCTGTGCATCACCCACACAACAGCTTAAATATAACATGACGCTGAGATACAGTTATATAAAAACGTAAGTTTTATTATTTAAGGCTGAGATTTAAGAGGCAGTGAGTAAAGATAACAAATGGAGGCAGAATGGTTACATATAAAACAAAAAATAGAACATGCTTCCTGGAGTCTAAACTTTTAACAGTCTAAAACTCTTGTCTAATACAGTTAGTCTCACCATAAGCAAGCTCACCGCATTTGCAACCAACATGGTTGGGCTCCCCCTTTAGTAAATATAAAAAGTGCTGTCTTTTTTAATTTTCTTTATGAAGGGAAAAAAACAGTCCTTTTGACTTCTTATAACTCCAATATTAATTGTTTTGTCCCCAATGTCAGGATGACCCCTGTGGTTTATTCCCTGATATACTGGCTTAATGTTGCATTTCTATCCTTGTGTTGATGTTGTGTTGGTATACAGTGCTTATTTACATGTGAACCAAGGCAAATATACATCCTTTGGTCAAAATCTGCTTATCAACCTTGCTTTGGTTCAGATTTTAAAACATTTTAAATGTCATCAATACATAAATCTCTCAGCAGTTATGAAAATCAGTATGACATAAGTTTTTATTAGATATTTCACTTGACTCTCTTTGGATAAATACTATGTAAGCAATATGTTGGGTATAGCGAGTTCTGTAAAATCAGGGAAGCGATAGATAAGGTTAACATACTATTTTTCTATGTTGGTGATTATTCAGAAACGGCATAATATAAAAGCTTCAAAAGTGACTTCATTCTTTGTCTTTCAATGAGTCTTCAGTTATGTGGTGCTGAAGGGCTGGATTTTCAAAGATGTTTAGATGCTTAGTGGGATTTTCAGAACTGTCAAGATGACTAACTTCTTTTGAAATCAGTGGAAGTTAGGCAAAATGCTAGATTCACAAAAGATCTTGGGTGCTTATCTGCCACTTTAGTTGCCTGAATCCCAGAATCAGGCCTGACTTGGATGCACAAAACCTCCGCCCATTTGCCATCTAATACTGAATTGTTTAAACTCACTCAGTGCCTATATTTTTCTATTAAAAGTTCCTTAGGCACCTGTTTCTGCCTTTGAACATGTGTGTAACTGCCTCACTCCAGTCATTTGGATACCTGAGCCCCAAGGCTAGTCACAAACCAGTGTACTAGTCATCCCCCAGATTTGCAAAGGGGACCCAATCAGGAGTACAGGATCTTTCGAAATGGGGCATTTCTGTCAAAAATGCCCTGTCTAAATTCCTGTTTTTTTTTTTTTAAAAAAAAGCTCCGTTTCGAAAAATAGCAGCGGCTGCCATTATGCAAATGAAGCACGGGATATTTAAATCCCGGCTTCATTTGCACTTTCACTACGTCTAATTTACATCCCTCTGCCAATAGAAGGGTTTAGTTTAGACGTACTCTTAGTTTTCTCTTTTCTAAACTAAACAAGCCCAGTGTATCTTTAGACAGCTAAATGTCTTTAAAAATCTGGCCCTTATCACTTTGAAAATGAGATTTAGGTTCCTAAATCCCAAATGGACTCCTGTAAGCTAACCATAATCTAAAATTAGGAAACCCATTAAAAGGGAAAATTATGGCAGAACTATTTAGTAGCTAAATGTCCTTATACAACAGGGGGGAAATTATTGAAAAAGAGTACAGGTATACATTGATTCTAACTGATAACTATGTGTCTGGATTAGAAAACTGAAGAAAGTGGCTAAATATCACAATTACGATACAGTTCAAAAATTACAGGGATGTGAATGACTAGTTGACTATCCGATAAGCAAAAGCCTTATCGGATAGTTGACTGGTTGCTCTCCTCCATCTGAAAGAGGCAGCAAGGGGGGAGGGTGAAGAGGAGGGTATGCTTCAAAGCGGCAGTGCCGCATGGAGACTGGGGCAAAAACTTGGGCTCCATGCGGCACTACCGCTTTGAAATGCTGCTTGCAGCCCAGGCCAACTGGGAGTCCACATTCCACGCAGCATTGCCGCTTTGAAATGCTGCACGGAGCCTGATGCTGGGCTCCCCGCAGCATTTCAAAGCGACAGCTCCACATGGAGTCCGGGGTCAGAGTCCCCAGCTGACCTTGGGCTCCATGCAGCACTGCCACTTTGAAACACCACAGGGAGCACAGGGCCAACAGGGGACTGCTTGAGTCCTCCACTGGCCCCATGCTTCCTGCAGCGCTTTCGCCTTTGAAGTGTAGCAACAGCCCTGGGGCTGTTGCTGCACTTTAAAGGCAGAAGCACACTTATCAACTAATTGAATAGTTAATGCAAATTGCCAAGACTATTCGATTAGTCAAAACTCATTATTGACCAAAATGCTCAAGTTAGTTGTCAGATCCTATTATAAAGGACAACTAAAAGTGAAGAGTTAGAGGGCAAAAGTAAAGGCCGTTAAGTTCAATTTATTTTTAGTGAGAAGTCACAAGTTATAAATCGTTTTCAGGGTCTCTGACGGTCAGAGATGATGTCAAGTGAACAGAATCTTGCAAAAAGAAAGTACAAGACCTCACGTTTCTTCGTGAATTATTAATTTGTCTGGTGTGTGTGTGTAAAATTGTGACACTAATGTGCTCTTTTAAATGTCTTAATTTGACAGAGTTACCACACTTCCTTCAAGCATTTATAATTCTCATTCTCACCCTTATCCTCCAAGGAAGAAAAGTGTAAATGTTAAGAACATTTTTGTTCCCTATTCCTTCTTGGCTAGTTCTTTATTTGTGAAATATGAATTATATTCCAAAGAGATTCTCCTTTAAGAGGTAAATGACAGACACACAATGCCTATTTAATTTTCTCTTTAAATTACTTTGGTAAGTGCCCTTTTGGCTTTAAGTTTTATCTAAATTATATATTTTAAAGGGAAGTATACCAATTTAAAACATTTGTATTCTGTTGCAACTATTAGATATGCCATGTTCTGTCTTTTCTCCTTTTAGGTGAGAAACCTTTTGAATGTAACATTTGTGGGAAACACTTCTCACAGGTGGGAATATTTTATTTTATGATATTTAAAGTTAAACTAAATGCATTTGTGTTTTGATTTTAAAAATAAACTTAGTTTTGTTTATGGTGACATACCATGGCCTTATCCAGTGTTACAATCCTAAATTTATTTTTTAGCCATCTGTGGTGGCTTTTGAAAAATACTCATTACAGTTTCTAAAATTTCTTTAAGATATTTCTGCCTTTTTTTTCTTCTACTTTTATGTAGCACTTCTGTCACCTCTCCCTCAATCTGTCTTTTATTTTTGTGCTTTTTTCTCAGCAGTTGGGTTCATAGTTATATAGATTTCAGAAAAAAAGTCCTCCATATATTTAAAATCAAGAGTACATTTACTGCCAAATTGTAACCATGTGGTACCTAAAGTATACATGTACTTCATCTAGGAATACAATTTGGCTGTGTCTAGACTACATCCCTCTATCAGCAGAGGGATGTAAATGAAGTACTTTGAAAGTGTAAATGAAGCCGAGATTTAAATATCCCGTGCTTCATTTGCATAATCACGTAATGGAGGTCTGTCGAAAAAGCACTATTTCGAAATTGAAACCACAGTCTAGATGTGGTATACTGCACATACTGGAGTCTTCCTATACACCTCATTTTTTGAGGTTTACATGATCTTTCAAAAAAGTGCCCCGTTTTCGAAAGAACCACGTCTAGACTGTGGTTTCAATTTCGAAATAGTGCTTTTTCGACAGACCTCCATTACGTGATTATGCAAATGAAGCACGGGATATTTAAATCCCGGCTTCTTTTGCACTTTCGAAGTGCTTCATTTACATCCCTCTGCCCACAGAGGGATGTAGTCTAGACGTAGCCTTTGAGTGGTATTTAGAGGAACAGTGGAGTCAGTCTTGTATACTATTATTTTTATATGCTGTAAAGCAAATGCCTCTTAGTCATATATATAATTTGTTGCACATACTGTAGTCTTCCTATACACCAAATGTAGCTATGCGGACCTCTTCAGAGGTCCAGATATGGAAAACTGAGTAGCTGATAATTGCATAACTACAGTCAGACTAATTTCTTTTTAGCCAAAGTTCAAATGGTTCCAAAGCCTGACATAATAATCCAGTTTAAATTTACTTAGAAAATAAAAGTTGGAATTTTTTTCCTGATAACCTGGCCCTGACTTTTAGCTGCGCCTCGACTTGACCTTCATTATTTAAATTGCAAAGTTTCAGGTATTGTTAAATTCGTTGGCATTTGCACACCTCAGGCACCTCACTACTTGACTTACAGGTACTATCAGGTAGGTTGTTAAAAGGATCCAGTTTGTTGTGTCCCTAAAATTTCATCAGCAATATTAGAGATCACTTCTGAAAATTCAGGACTTGGCCTTTAATTGTAATTTATTATCTGTACTTACAGTTTAACTATATTCCATCTTTTATTTATATGAGAATACTTATCCATTACAAGAGGAGTGTGTGTAAGAGGGTGAGACTGAGAGAAATAGTCAAGTGTGTGTTTTATACTGAAATAGATTCAATTTAAGTGTGAGGTCCAGCCCCACATTCAGTGTGTGATTGTGCTTAGCCAGTCATTTTGGACACTGTTTTAAGTACATATGAGCCATAGAAAACACATTTTTCTTTTGTTGAAGATTGACATTCTAAAAGCATGTCTACGCTACAAAATTAGGTTGATTTTATTTAATTTGACTTTGAACATCTGATTTAATAAATGTGATTTTGCATGGTAATGGGTGCAGGTTGTCAGCCTTTGCTGTCTGACTCACAACAAGCCTTGTTCCACAGAATGCTTGTCTAAGCTCTTTTATTTTCACATTGTATTGCTGTGTGTCCCTGGTGTAGGTCTTATACACCATGCCCTGAATGCTTTTGACATAGATATCAACATTCCTTCTGCTAGTTCAGAGCTCTGCCTACAA